GTCACCTGGTGGTCTTAGAAGCATTGTCCTGGGCAGCCCTCTGAGAGAACAGAGACCTGGGAGGGAGGCTGAGGAGGGAGCCCCATTTTACAGGCAAGGAGAAGTCTCTGCGAAGGGAAAGGACTTGCCCCAGGGTAGCAGGGCATTGACTTAGATGTCCTAGCCTCCAGCTCTGACCTCTGTGCCCGGGCCCAGTGCTTCTCAGGACTGCAGAGAGGTAGTCAAGAATGAGAGGGCAGAGTTCCCCTGCCTGACAAGTCACAGAGTCCAGAAGTGACTGGGGTTAGGATGCTCTAGGAAAAAGATAAAATAAAATGCATAATTTAGATATAGTGAAAGTCACCCATTTTAGAGTACAGTTCTGTTCATTTTCACAATGCGTCCTCAAGTTGGTTAACCACCACTGCAATCAGGACAGGGAACAAATGGCTCTGTCACACTCGAAAATTTCTCTGTGCAACTTTGTTGCAGAGGAGACCCCTCTTCCCACCCAGTCTTGCCTGACTGATGATCACCCATCTGTTTTCTCTTCTGGGTGTTTTTTTTTTTTTTTTTGAGATGGAGTCTCAAATCTCACTCTGTTGCCCAGGCTGCTGGAGCACAGTGGCACCATCTTGGCTCACTGCAACCTCCGCTTCCTGGGTTCAAGTGATTCTCATGCCTCAGCCTCCTGAGTAGCTGGGAGAGGAAGGGAGGAGGGGTAAGGGAAAGGGAGGAGTGAGAGGGAGGGAGGAGGAAGGAAGGAAGAGGGAAGGAGGAAGAGAGGAGGGGGAGGGAGGAAGGAGGGAGGAGGAAGGCGGGAGAGAGAGGAAGGGAGAGAGGGAAAAGGAGGGGGGAGAGGGAGGAAGGGAGAGGGAGAAAGGGAGGAGGAAGGAGGGAGGAGGGAGAGAAAGGAAGGAAGGAGGGAGGAAGGGAGGGGCCACCTCGCTCTGACCTCTACCCTCACTGCCCCTGCCTTAAGAGGCTCTGGTGCCCCAGAAGACAGAGCTGGGAGGAGAGGAGGCTGGGCATGTCCATCTGAGCAGGACACCAGGGTGGACCAGAGAAGGAGGGGCTGGGAGGAGGTGTTGGGGGAGGAGTCCATGTTCCGGGGATGTCACCTGGTGGTCTTAGAAGCATTGTCCTGGGCAGCCCTCTGAGAGAACAGAGACCTGGGAGGGAGGCTGAGGAGGGAGCCCCATTTTACAGGCAAGGAGAAGTCTCTGCGAAGGGAAAGGACTTGCCCCAGGGTAGCAGGGCATTGACTTAGATGTCCTAGCCTCCAGCTCTGACCTCTGTGCCCGGGCCCAGTGCTTCTCAGGACTGCAGAGAGGTAGTCAAGAGTGAGAGGGCAGAGTTCCCCTGCCTGACAAGTCACAGAGTCCAGAAGTGACTGGGGTTAGGATGCTCTAGGAAAAAAATAAAATAAAATGCATAATTTAGATATAGTGAAAGTCACCCATTTTAGAGGACAGTTCTGTTCATTTTCACAATGCGTCCTCAAGTTGGTTAACCACCACTGCAATCAGGACAGGGAACAAATGGCTCTGTCACACTCGAAAATTTCTCTGTGCAACTTTGTTGCAGAGGAGACCCCTCTTCCCACCCAGTCTTGCCTGACTGATGATCACCCATCTGTTTTCTCTTCTGGGTGTTTTTTTTTTTTTTGAGATGGAGTCTCAAATCTCACTCTGTTGCCCAGGCTGCTGGAGTGCAGTGGCACCATCTTGGCTCACTGCAACCTCTGCTTCCTGGGTTCAAGCGATTCTCATGCCTCAGCCTCCTGAGTAGCTGGGATTACCTTCTGGGTGGTTTTTTGATCAGCAGGACTAGCTAGTCTGCGCTCTGGGCAGCCCTGGGTGTCCAGGTGTAGGTGTCCTGGAAAACAGCGTCTTGTCCAGTTCATAGTGTGTCCCCATTGTCCTGCATAGGACCTGGTTGGAGCTGGTGTTGGGAAGCATTTGTTGGGTGGGATGAGGAGAGGGGAGGCAGCTGAAGACCTGGTGTCCAGGACTGGTCGTGTCCCAGGCTTAGTAGTCACGTGTCCCAGGCTTGCTGTGTGACCTCATGTGAGTCACTTGCCTTATTTGTTCTTTACAAGCATTTATTGAGCACTTACTATCTACATCAGGTACTGTTCTAGGTACTTGAAATATATCACTGAACAAAACAGAAATCCTTGCCCTCATGGAGCTTACATTCTAGACAGGGAGAGACCATCGGTAACAAGCATTATAAATAAGCATTTTATATAGTATGATGCAAAATGATAAGTGCTCTTAAAAAATACAAAGTGGACCGGGTGCGGTGACTCACACCTGTAATCCCAGCACTTTGGGAGGCCGAGGCAGGTAGATCACGAGGTCAGGAGTTCAAGACTATCCTGGCCAACGTGGGGAAGCCCCGTCTCTACTAAAAATACAAAAAGTAGCCGGGCATGGTGGTGCACGCCTGTAGTCCCAGCTACTCGGGAGGTTGAGGCAGGAGAATTGCTTGAACCCAGGAGGTGGAGGTTGCAGTGAGACGAGATCGCACCACTGCACTCCAGCCTGGGCAACAGAGTAAGACTCCGTCTCAAAAAAAAAAAAAAAAAAAGTAAAGCAGAGGACAAGGAATGAGGAGTTCTGTCTGGGGCAAGAGGAGGGTGGATTTTAATTTTAAACAGTGTTTAGGGTGGCTCATTGAAAGGTGATGTTTGAGCAAGGACGTGAAGGAGGTGAGGGAGTGAGTGACTCGACTATCTACAGGCAGAGGGGATAGACGAGCGAAGGCCCCGGGGCCTCCTGTTGGAGGAGGTGGAAGAAGGCCATTGTGGCCGGAGGGAGTGAGTGATGGGGAGAGGAGGTCAGAGGATGCAGGGCTTAGTGGGCTGCCGTTGGAACCTGAGCTTTCATTCTGGGAGAGGCACTAGCAGATCAATCTGGCTGCTGTGCTGAGCAGAGGATTAAAAGGCCAGGGTGGAGGCAGGGAGGCCAGTTAGGAGGCTACCGCGGTGATCTAGCTTCACTCTTCCCCATAGAAGCGGCAGATGGGGAGAGGGCCAGGGAACCTGAGTTGCCAATCCTGCTGAGATAGGATACGGGCCCCAGTCCTGGGTCTTGGGGGACGCTGCTTCTGGCCCATGAGAGAACCAAGCTTCAATGTGCTCACCCGCCAGGTGAGACGCCCCTGGCCCTGGCAGCCTGCACCAACCAGCCCGAGATTGTGCAGCTGCTGATGGACCACGAGCAGACGGACATCACCTCGCAGGACTCGCGGGGCAACAACATCCTCCACGCCCTGGTGACTGTGGCCGAGGACTTCAAGACGCAGAATGACTTTGTGAAGCGCATGTACGACATGATCCTACTGCGGAGTGGCAACTGGGAGCTGGAGACCACTCGCAACAACGACGGCCTCACGCCGCTGCAGCTGGCCGCCAAGATGGGCAAGGCCGAGGTGGGGCCATGGGGCGTGGGGAAGCGGGAGGTCGGGAGGTCAGGAGGCACAGATGCCACTCTCTCAGCGCCAGGGGCCCTATCGGGGATTCAGAGACCACAGCCTCAGCCTTGAGAAGGTCCCAGACTTAGGTCCAGAAATGCAGTGGCTTGGCGGCCCGAGGCGGGTTTGTTCTGAGGGGCCACGCGGAGCTGGTGAGATGCAGCGCACTCTCTAGACTTCAGTCCCTAATACGCCGCGTTTCCATCTCTTGTCCTTAGGCTGGGGGAGTCTGAGGCTGAGGTGACACAGAAGCCCCAGCAGGGCTGAGTGGGTGGCCCTTGGGGCCTTCTGCTTCTCACGGGGACGGGAGTTCCAGAATGGCTGCTCTGGGCCCAGAGCTAATATGCTGCCATCTCCCAGTTATGGAGAGACCCCAGCCTGTTTGTCCGGCTGGAACTCTGTGCCGTGTCCCCAGCCGAGAGTGTGGCTGCTTTGGGCCCTTCTTGCCTTGTGTGATGTGGCTGAGATAACCGAGGCTTAGCTGGGAGCCTTGGTGAAGACTTGAGCAGGGCTGGGCTCGGATCTCTTTCAGGGGCCGGTGTCATGGCTTGGTCTGAGACGTTCTTAGGGGACGGATTCTGGGGTCCAAGTGTGTTCCTCAGCCTCACTGTCTCACTCCTCTGCGAGGAGGCTGTGGCTCCTGGGATGCCACCAGAGGACACTGGGGGGTGGTGGCTGTTGAGTAATTGCAGCTGTGCCAGCCTCAGGGTACCCGCCTCCCTGGTTAGCTGCCCCGAGGGCCTTGGTCCTGTCCCAAGTGGTCAGGCCTGGGGCCCACAAGGGGCCTTTTGATTCGCCTGTGGGGGAGGAGGAGATGGAGAACTGCTTCAACAGAGGAGGAATTGTGTGTCTGCCTCCCTGCAGCTCCTGCCTCCCCTCAGGGTCACAGCTTGCTGGGGCTTTGAAGAGTCAGCTTGTGGTTGCAGAAGGAGCCTTCTCCAAGGCCATCTTCCCTGTGTGCCACTGTGGCGGGTGCTGTCCCTGCCACCCCAGCCCGGGGAGGGGGCTTCCTACATGGAGCATGGCCCCAGGACCCCCTTGTTTTCTGGGGGACAATGTGCCCGCTGTGACTAGCCTGGGGGAGGCACCTGTCCCCCGCTTCCCTCCTCTGTTCCGTGTCCTCCAAAAAACTTTCCTGGATGCTACCCAGGTTGGCCACCGTCCTGGGGCTTTTATAGGCTAGGGTGCGGGACCGAGAGACCTGGCCTTATCCCTAGAAGCTCTCTGCCTGGGCTGTCATGACAGATGGGACGGGAACCCACGGGGTCTTGTGAAGCCAGGTCTCTGACACTGTCCTTCCCAACAGTCCCTTCCTCTTGGGTCTTGAGTTGGTGCCCTAGGAAGCCCATGTCTCATCCGGGGGTAACCCAGGGCTCAGCTTTTTGGAAGTAGGAGCCAGAGACAGCGGCTCTGCATCCAGCCTGCACTTTGGAGCTAGCCAGGAAGCTTCTCCTGGGTCCCACCCTGGAGATTTTGATTTCATTAGTTGATGCTGTGGGAATTTTTTTTTTTTTTTTTTGAGACTAGAGTCTCACTTCATCGCCCAGGCTGGAGTGCAGTGGCGCAGTCTTGGCTCACGGCAACCTCCGCCTCCCAGGTTCAAGCGACTCTCCTGTCTCAGCCTCCTGAGTAGCTGGGATTACAGGCATGCACCCCCACGCCCGGCCAATTTTTGTATTTTTAGTAGAGATGGGGTTTCACCATGTTGGCCAGGCTGGTCTCGAATTCGTGACCTCAAATGACCCGCTCCTCCTTGGCCTCCCAAAGTGCTGGGATTACAGGCGTGAGCCACGGCACCTGGCCCATGCTGTGGGAACTTCTAAGTTTCCCAGCCACCCCAACATGCAGCAGAGTTTGAGGATCACTGACCTACCGAAGTCCCGCGGGCCTCCCTGTGGGGCGTGGCGTTTCTCGTCACCAGCTGTCTGGCCAGAGTGGTGAGCCTCAGCTGGAAGGGTCTTGGCTTATGGTGGGCTGGGGACGCTGAGAACACTTCTGGCTTCTTCTCAAGTCCAGAGCAAACGGAAACTGTTTCTAAAAAATCATCAGTGCCTGGAGTTTTCACTGAACTGGGGCCCCAGCTGGCGGGAGGCGTTTCAAGCCGATTGTGCAGCTTGCCGCAGCCTTCGAAGAACCTTCACACCTTTTGTCCCCGGTGTTCACATCCCCCAGTGAGACGGGCAGAACAGCAAGCTGTGTGCGCATTCCGCAGATAAAGACGGGGCCCAGGGGCCGTGGCGCCAGGCGCAGAGTCAGGTCTCCACCCATCCTGGGCGGGAGTATCTCCTGGGCCCAGCCCGCCGCTGGCTGGTCCAGCCCTGTTGGCCTCAAGCCCCTGTTCTGCAGCTGACAGTTGTTCCTCGTCTTGTCCCAGATCCTGAAGTACATCCTCAGTCGTGAGATCAAGGAGAAGCGGCTCCGGAGCCTGTCCAGGAAGTTCACTGACTGGGCATACGGACCCGTGTCGTCCTCCCTCTACGACCTCACCAACGTGGACACCACCACGGACAACTCTGTGCTGGAAATCACCGTCTACAACACCAACATCGACGTGGGTCTCCTGCGCAGGCAGGGAAGGGCAGGGAACAGAGGGCTGGACCTCAGGCCAGGGGCTCCGAGGATGCTGGGAAGACCCAGCGCTGCCAGCTCCACCCCCCCGCTGTGTCTGCATCCCCCACTCTGCTGCCTCAGTGGGCAGAGTCAGGCACAGAAAGGGCGAAGCCTGGGACAGATGCTGGGCCCGCCTCTTCTGGTTGACCTTGGACTGTAGACCTGAGTGGTGGTGGTGGGGGCAGGTGGGGGTCTTCCGGTCCCAGTATCCGGGGCTGTTTGGGTGTGGGTGTGGGTGACAGGGTGGTTGGGGTTGATCCTTACCGTATTGTTTCTCTCCCACCTCCCTGTTGGTGTATATGGCCAGGCTTAGAATTCTTTCTTCCCCAAAACCTGATCCCAAATGAGGGTCAGAGGGTGCGCTGAGGAGCAATCAGGGAGGCCTTCCTGGAGGAGGCTGGAGGGGAGCGTTTGGTGTAACCGGAGGTGAAGAGAGGAGCAGCTATGAGAGGTGTTCAGCTCTTGGGGGAAGTGAGGCAGCAGGCTGGGTCTTCCTCCTTCATACTTTAACGAGAGTCATGCTTCCCAGAGTCTCCTTGCCTTGAGTCTTCCCGGACCCTCACGGCAGCCTGGTTGGTAGGACAGGGATTGTTAGGAGTTTTATAGGTGAGGAGTCTGAGGCCCAGAGAGGGTCAGGGGCTGTCCTAAGGTCACACAGCAAAGGAGGGGCAAACTGGGGCTGGAACCCCTGTCACTACCTCCTGCCCGCTTCTATCCTCCACTTTCTGCTGTGCATCGAGTCCTCAAGCCCAGGCTCCTGCAGCCTCTGACTACTGCCCGAGTACCGTGGGGAGGAGCCTCAGGAGCCGGAAATCGCCCTCCCAGCATTTCCAGCCAAACCAGTCCATTGGGCATAATGATGGACCCCTTCTGCCGGGGCGGCGCTGCCTCAGAGCTCCCACAGGCCTTTAGCAAACGGTCGCTCCTTCTCTCCCTCATCTCCATGGTGACTGGTGGCATTCTACCCCTAGAACCGGCATGAGATGCTGACCCTGGAGCCGCTGCACACGCTGCTGCGGATGAAGTGGAAGAAATTTGCCAAGTACATGTTCTTTCTGTCCTTCTGCTTTTACTTCTTCTACAACATCACCCTGACCCTGGTCTCGTACTACCGCCCCCGGGAGGAGGAGGTACGTGGGCCCCGTGGAGGGGAGAAATGGGGCGGTCAGAGCTGGCGGGGCTTGGAGCTGCCCCACGTGCAGATGGGAAAACTGAGGCCCAGAGAGGCCAGGAGATTTGGGTGGGGTCCCCCAGTTGTCCTTCACATTTTCTAGGGAACTGAGTAAGTCTTCGGTGCTTAGTTGGGCTAAGCTCCAGGTGCTGAGTTCCAGGCAGACCCATGTTGGGGGGAAAGTTGGAGAATTCGGAGACTCAGGCCCTGCCCAGGGTCTCTGTCAAAATACAGAACTGACTGGGTGTCTCTGCTGTGAGGGCTGCAGGAAATGGGAGGAGGATAAGCTCTCCCTGCCCGCCGGGCTTCGGCTTCCCATGCGTCACGTGGCGCACAGAGCCTCGGCTTTATTGAATGGTGCGGTGAGGCCGTGTTGAGTGTCTGGATATGAATGGGTTCTGGAAAGGCTATTGCAATGGAGTGTGAGGGTTGTTAGCACCGATTGGCTGATACTCGTTGTCGTAGAGTTTCGGGTTTCCATCAAGGGTGGGGAGGGTGGGGTCAGGGAGCTGCTCCTGCTTTTCTCGCTCTGTACAGAGATCGGGTTTCATGCTGGCTTCCGGCCTGGCTTGAGTGTTCTGGTCCCTGTAGAGTTGGTGCCAGCCCAGTCCACCTTACTCCCTGTTCCGGCCACCCCTCTGCTATCCCCCCAGGCCCTCCCGCACCCCTTGGCCCTGACGCACAAGATGGGGTGGCTGCAGCTCCTCGGGAGGATGTTCGTACTCATCTGGGCCACGTGCATCTCCGTGAAAGAGGTGAGTGGGTCACTCAGCCCCTCTAGACCGCCCCGCGAGGCAGGCAGGTGATAGCAGGCCTGGCCTCCATCCCTCTCTGCTCTACCATTACTGCTGGGGGGCTTCAGGGAGGCGTTTCCTTCCCAAGCCTTACCTTTCTGAGTGATAACATGGGAAAAAATGGATAAGACTGGCCTATCCTACCTACTTCATCCATCTACTTCCCTATCCATCTGCCCAGCTATCCACCGTGTATCTACCTTCCCAGCCACTCAGTGTCCCTTGTCCTCTTCCACCCCCATCCACCCATCCGATCACCTGCCCTCTTTCATGGACTCAGCCACTCATTCATCCATTCACATGCCCGCTTATCCTTACCAACCATCCTTCTATCCTTTATCCAACCATCTTTCCATCTCTCCATCCATCCATCCATCTGTCCATCCATCCATCCATCCATGCATCCTTCCATCTATCCATCCATCCATCCATCCATGCATCCTTCCATCTATCCATCCATCCATCCATGCATCCTTCCATCCATCCATCCATCCATCCATCCATGCATCCTTCCATCCATCCATCCATCCATCCATGCATCCTTCCATCTATCCATCCATCCATCCATCCATGCATCCTTCCATCTATCCATCCATCCATCCATCCATCCATGCATCCTTCCATCTATCCATCCATCCATCCATCCATCCTTCCATCCATCCATCCAT